ACAGGAGAGCTGCCCAGCGAACAAACTCTTCTGTCCTTTTCTGTCACTGTGAGCCCACCCTAGGGTCCTGGAGGGGTCTTTCTCTCACACAACTCTTGCTGAGGCTCATAGGAGAGGAAGTGGATCTCACCAGCCTGCGGGGTGCCTGGCTCTCCCTAACTTCACAAATGGGGGACACAGGAGACCGAACCCCTCACTCATTTCTCCTTCCTGACTACCCTATGTGTGGCCTCTGTGATAGCATCAGGACCATTGTTACCAGCAACCACACTCTCAGTGACTCAGAACATGCCAGTCTCTGGAGGCCTCAAGTCCAAAGTCAGTTCCTCTGGAGTTAGGGTGTCAGCAGATCTGGCTCCGCCTGCAGGCTTCGGAACAATCTTCTAGCTTCTGGAGGCTTCTGCAGCCCTTGACTAATGACTCCTCCAGCCACCTGCTTCCACACAGAGGTGCATTCTGACTCTGATCGCATCTCCCTCTGTTTGTTGTAGCCAGGGTTGGCTTCACACTCATCTTGTAGAGGAGGAAGAAGCTGACCTTGAACTCCTAATCTTCCTGCCTCTACATCCTGGTACTCTGGGATTGCAGGCTTGCAACACCCCCACCTGGCTTTCTGTTTGCCTCTCTTGATTGCTTTTAGTGCCTGCCTAGACAATCTCTCCATCTTAAAATGGGCAGTTTGATCACACCTATAAATTCCCTTTACCACAGCAAGCGCAACAGGTTCCGGGAAAGGAAAGTCAGCTGGTCACGCTGCTCCCCACCCTGCCCACGGGTCCCTGCTGGGTGAGGCCCTAGCCCTCAGGAGGCTGTAACAGCAGGGGTTACAGGGGTCCTATTGAGTTCTAGAGCTGCCTGGAGCCTGGAGTCCAGACAGACTCTATCTCTAAAAGCAAAAAGGTACTCACTCTCCGATGCCATCAAATACCCCACCCGTAAAATCCTCTCCATTGTTTAAATACAGCAGAGGTAATGCCCAAGGAATGTGGCACACTGGAGTATCAGGCACTTGCTGGAACTGGGGAGAAAGAACAGCTTTATCCTAGAACAGTTTCTATGGAAAATAAGCATTCATTGTTCACCTAATCCCAAAGAAAATGTAATGGGTGGGGGAGACGGCTCGGTGGTTTTAAGAACAAAACTGCTCTTGCCCAGATTTGGTTCTTAGCTCCCAGGTCGGGCAGCTCACAAAGGCCTCTAATTCCAGTTCAGGAGCAACGGTTGCTTCTAGCCTCCTTGTGTGCGCGCAAATACGTGCGCCTGGACACATGCGCAGTACTTTAAAATAATTTTTCAAAATATTTTTAAATTTAACAAACAAAAGCAGGAAGCTAGAATGTTCCCTGTTGGTCTCCTCCCTAGCTAGCATGGAGGAGACATCTTGGTGTCAGGGTTCTCCAGTCCTACCTCCTAGTCCTTGACTCAATACCAGGAGCCATAGGGATGCCGCTCTGGGTTAGACAGCTGACCTCACAGATTACACCCATCACTCCTTCAATATCAAGCGTGTACCACCTTCCAAACACCTCTGGACCCCAGCCTCACCAACCCCACAGATGGTCACTGGTGCCAGTTCACAGGAGTGATGAGGCTTACCCAAGGTCACAGTCAAGAGTGGACAGAGGCCCAAATTCCAGCCTCTGCCTCTGTCAAGACCATAGGTGAAGCTGGGCAACATGGTACACCTCTGTAATGCCGACACTTCGGAAGCTGGAGGAGGTTACAAGTTCAAGGTCAGGTTCAGCCTGAGCTATAGACCTCAGGAGACTTAGTGTGACCTGTCACGACAAAGATCAGACAGTGGTTCCCGGGTAAGCTCAGAGACCCCACGAAATGTGATTTTTTTTCTTACTCATCTCCAGACTCCTAAATACTAAATCTCAGATGGGCTATTTGGACAATGAAGGTCACCTAACTAAAGCCAGAATTGGCCACAATGTGGCAGCCACATGCTGTTTCCATCTCCTGCAGACTTTGGAGGTTCTCTAGGTGTTATTAGGAAGAATTTGTTGTCGTAGGCTTTGGAGGCTCTCTAGTGCCTCCTGGCGGCATTGGGAGCATTGCAGGCTACGGAGGCCCTCTAGTGCGTCCTGGCGGCATTAGGAGCATTGCAGGCTTTGGAGGCCCTCTAGTGCCTCCTGGTGGCTGTGGAAAGCACATTGAAAGAAGTATTATAGGAAGAAAGCTGGGCCTAGGTGTTGTTTGTGGCAGCTTCAGTCATTCTCCAGGTAGTCACAGGAAGCCAGTTTGGCTAGCACCATCTGTGGAGTGCCTATCACCTGCTCAGTCAGTGTAGACTTCTCCCTACCTACAGCATCCCCTGGGGAAAATCCTCAGGATCACTCCACAGTCCCCAGTGCCTCTGCCAGCCCTGCCGTGCTCTCTGTGGAAGAAAGCATGAACAACATGCCTATGTCTGACAGCTGAGACACAACCTGCCTGTCCCACCTCCTAAGTCAGATGACCTTCAGGGGGCACTAAGGCTAGACACAACCGAGGGGCAGTGCCGGACCAGTGAGAACACAGGCTACCGGCAGCTGGATTCTCTGGGCTATGGTATCCTAGTGAGAAGTATGGGTAGGTAGATCAGTGGCTTCCTTTGGGGAGACAGAGACTGAGAAGTGAGTCCATTTCCTTGGGAGATACCAAGGAAGAACAGTGGGGCATCCTGAGAAGGGAACATGGGAGGTTGGAAGCAGGGATACAGGGTGGAGAGATGAAGGCACAGAGAAATAGATGCTGGGATGGAGAGAGAAAGGCATGAAGAGGTACGAGGCATGCAGGGATAAGGGGATGGAGGGATGAAGGCATAGATGGTTGGGGACCCCTTGCCTGCCGGAGTAAGCAACTTGTTGTGTTTGCAGCTGCTCTGAGCATGAGACAGGGGAGTGGCTTCTGGTGGCTTGCAGTGGCCATTGGTCAAGGAGAGCCTATATAAGCTGCCCTGTAACACAATAAAGTGGGCATTCTTGGGGTTCTCGTTTCAAGGATGACCCATGTCTCCGTCTCTGTGTTTCAATCTCCAGGCCCCTTGCCCAACCGTCCCAGTAAGCTACAGGCATAGTACCGTAGCACACGTAGTACAGGCAGTACAGGACCATAGAACACGTAGTAGCACGGACGTTACAGTAGATGATGGGTCGGAGGATGGAGAGCTACAGCAATGGGAAGATGGAGGACAGAGGGGTGAAAGACCTTCACATTCCTGTCATCCACGGCAATGTTCGCTAAGTTTCTGTTTGCTGTAGGTGCTCAGGGGTTCTCAAGGTATAATCTGGACCAAGGTCCCTCAGACTTCAGGTGTGTCCAGTAACTGGAAACAGCTGTGGTTCTGGGGTCTCCACCACATTCGGAGATGACCTCCATGTCACCTTGTGCCAGGAACATTGCCTCAAGCCCAAGTCCTCACTTCTTCCCACAGCCCCAAATGCTGAGACCTGATATCCCAAAGGGCAAATGGTAGTAAGTGGGCCGTGGCATATCTGAACAGGTGCCCTGCAGAGGAACCAGTGTGGCAGAGGGCACAGAGGCAGAATAGCCTGGAAGCTCTTCCACACAGCTGGACAGGCCAGTGCCTCACCTCAGGTACTTACCTACACGATGTTGTTGACAGCATGGATTGGGGGACTACAGATGAGAGGCCCCAGGTTCCCAGCACTCACGCTGGGTGCTCACAACCATCTGCAGCTTCACTCCCAGCGGGTCCATTGCCCTCTTCTGGCCTCTGCAAGCACTAGGCATGCATATGGTGCAGACAGCAGGCAAGCAAAACATTCACACACATTAAAAAATACATTAAGCTGGGTGGTAGTAGTACATGCCTTTAATCCCAGCACTTGGGAGGCAGAAGCAGGCAGATTTCTGTTTGAAGCCAGCCTGGTGTACTGAGTGAATTTCAGGACAGCCAGAGCTACACGGAGAAGCCTTGCCTCAAAACAAACAAACAAACAAACAAAATAAATAAAAAAAGGAAACAAACAAAAGCAAACAAATGATGTGATTCCCCTCCGTATGCTGTGATTACCATTAATGAATAAAGAAAACTGGCTTGGCCTGATAGGGTAGAACAGAGCTGGGGGTGGGGGGTACTAAACTGAATGTTGGGAGAAAGAAGGCGGAGTATAGAGAAGTCATGGAGCCATCACTACAGACAGACATGCCAAAACTTTGCTGGTAAGCCACTGCCACGTGGCTGATACACAGATTAATGGGGATGGGTTACATTACTATGTAAGAGTTAGCTAATAAGAAACTAGAGATAATGGGCCAAGCAGTGATTTAATTTAGTTTCTGTGTGATTATTTTGGGGCTGAACAGTCGGGAACCAACAAGTGACCTTCACACAACAAATAAACGAAACAAATTAAAACAAGCAGAAGCCTATAGACTCTGTCCTAGCCTTGTCAAGCTTGGCATCCTGATGTGCGCCTGACTGCTCCAGTCCCCCACCTCCTCATCCCATGGCAACTTCGTTGGCTTTGGTTTTATTTTGAGGCTGTCTCATATAACCCGGGCAGGTCTCAAGCTCGCTGTATATAAACAGACTTTGAACGGACCTCCCGGTCGCCCACCACACCCTGCCTATGTGGTAACACAGATGGAACCCAGGGATCTGTACGTGTTGAGTGAGTATTCTACAAATACAGCTGCATCTCCTCACCCAGCCTTTCTTTCCTTGGAGTCGCCCGGGCCTCACCGCGCAGTCCAGGCTAAACTCTCGGTGCTCCATCCTCAGCCTTTGGTTGGCTGGGATTACAGGTGTGCGCTACCAAACCCAATCTGCCCACAACTTTCTCAGAAGTAGGACTACGAATTTGCCCATCTGATAGGTGGAGGCTTGGAGAGGAGTGTCACCACCCTAAGCTCTGTTCATGTTCAAGATTCTGGTGACATTCAAGGGGAATCACTAGCACAGCAGAGGCACCAGGGTTAAGGCAACCTGCCCTGGCTTTCCTTGATTGACAGCCCCTCCCACACAGACCAGGTCTCAGCACAGTGGCTGCCTGAGCGGAGCTGCAGAATCTCCTTTATTGGAAATACAGTAATAGTCCCAGGGGTACCCGGGAAGAACTGGAACTAGGAAAGGGGCTTTCCCTAATGCGACTGCCCTCCCCTGGTCCAGGGTGGGAGCCAGTCTGATCCTTGCTAACAGGGAGCCAATGAGCCCTGAGAGAGCTGAAAAGGAATCCCTGCTGGGAGAGCAGGCCCCTGGAACTGGGGCTGGAAGGCAGTCCTTTGCAACCCCTGACCTCATGACCCTCAGAATAGCTGTGAGCCTGGGCTTGTCTCCAGCGGCAAGGTCCCTAGTAATGTCCGGTAGAGGGCCAGGGGCTGAATGGACCAGAGACAAAATGACTCTGCTCCCTACAGCATGGCCAGGGGCTGGTCAGGAGATCTTGACTCCTCAGCAGTAGTCTCTGCAGCTAGGGGGGGACTCAGTGCATTGATGGGGCTTCCTCAATGGCCCGCTCCATCCGCAGGTACCAAGGTTGGATGTGTGAGTGTCGCATCAGGTCATCGAAGGCCTCCAGACCCTCCATCACTCGCAGGACACCATACACTGCCTAGGGAAGGAGCAAGAACAGCCATCGCACTGGGCCCACAGAGGCATCCAAATGGCCCGTCTGCTGCTAGCTGTGTAAGATTTGAGGCGCTATCTCAGGACCTGGTCAGACCCAGGCTATCTGGTTACAGGACTGCACAAGGACAGAGCTGAAAGCCAGGGCAGCGAGACTGCCGGGTGGAAACCTGGAGCCATGCAGGCCACAACCGAGCCAGGAAACTAGACGGAGAGCTGAGGCCCTGCCCCTGCCACTCAGGCCCCTGGATCCTGCACAGCCTGCAACGAGCCCCTTCCTGAGCCTTTCAGGTAGGAGGGCAAAAACAGACATAATTACTCCAGGGAGAAGGAAGCTACAAAAGGCAGGCCTTGCCTGAGCTTTCCCTCCCGAGATCCCACTCCAAGGGGAGGTCACTCTATCTACCACCATCATGCTCACCAGGTCAGCAAGATTAGGCTTCTGGCCCCCCATGAATGGCCGGTCTTTGCCCACAGCGGTCACCCACTTGTTGGCTGCCTCGTAGAGGTCTGCACGGACGTCGTCCTGCAGGTGGTGCCTGGGGAGACACAGGGAGGCTGGTCAGGGAACTTCTGCCCATCTATGTGAACACAGCTTCAGGAAGGCTGGGTGACTGGGGTGGTCCTAGGTGAGGGATGGTACCCACATCACGGAGCATCTGCCCCCAGTGAGTGATGCTGTGTGGCTCAAGACGAGGACGGGACCCTGACAAGGAGGCAGAAGTAAAGGGCAGAAGGTAGGACCATGACTTCTGACCCCAAAGCCTGAGATAGGGACTCATCGCACGCGCTGGGTCCCAGGCCTGGCTTGCCTTCTCTAGGCCTCAGTTTCTCTCTTCCCTCCCGAAGGACATTCCATAGACCGCTATGCCCAGACTGGGGGACAGCAGAACCCTGTTCCCTCGTGGGCGTAGACTTGCACGAGCCTTCACCTGCTTTTGAGGCGCTTGCTGATGAGGTACATGGCAGCTGCACCCACATACTTGGCCATGGTGGCCTCCACAGCCCCAAACTTTCCCTCACGGACAATGTAGTCGAAGGAAGCCAGGGCTTCGGTGGGCGTCCGGTAGACGTTGGGGGAGATGAGGTGTACCAGCCAGTCGTCTGCCCACTGCCGCCACTTCATCTCCTCCCTGCAGACACGGGACACACGGGGTGTTGCAACAGCGCGGGCCCCCACACTCATCTCCCACAAGACTCCCCAGAGCAGTGGTCCTCAACACTCCTGATGCTGTGGTGACCCCAACCATAAAATTACTTCATTGCTACTTCCTATCTGTAGTTTTGCTACTGTTACGAATCATAATGCAAATATCTGTATTTGTATTATGTAGGACGTTTGAGCCCCAAAAGGGTCACGACCCACAGGTTGAGAACCCACTGGCCCAGAGCATCGGGCTTAACCTGGTCCTTACCACCCTGCCCCTCCTGCACCACAGGGCCACTCACGTCCTGGCTTCCTTCCCGCCATACATCCGCTGGGCCTCCTTCTCATCCAACATGAGCCAGTACTTGTTGCAGAACTCAGTCACCTCCTTGCCCTGGTCATTCATGGCCTTCATGGGTGGGTAATAGGTGATGACCTCTTCCAGGGACTGCCTTCAGGGGAAGGCCAGAGCGTCAGCCTGACTCAGTCCTCATGTCCCCTTGGCCTACCAACCTGGACCATCCCAGCCTGACTCAGCCACTCAGTGACCCAGCCCTGGGCTAGAGCCATGACCCAACCTAGGAAGGGTCACTTACTTGCAGCAAAAGGGATTAGGTTAGACACGAGGAACGCTTTCCTGATAGGAGGAGGAAAGCAGGCCTTGGTCTATTCTAGAAGTGCCTACTGCAGCCCCACTCTTAGTTAAGGCCCTGCTGGGCGTCCCAGGGAGCGCCTTACCCTGAAACCAGGTGGGTCTTGAGGGCGCTGATGATGACGGAGGAGTCGTTCAGCTGTTGCTGGAAGGGAAGAAACAACTGTCTTGTGTTGTTGTGAATCCAGGGCCTCGGGCGTGAGGGGCAAGAGCTGTGTTACTGAGCCATGCCCCTTGCCCCAGAGACAGGTTTTGATCAGAGGCTCTGGCTGGCAGTTGGCAGGATCGGGCCCCTTAAACAGCAGCATCGTCAAAAACAAGCGACAAAAAATAACAGGAGCGCCCAAGGTCCTTGAAACTGGGCCCTGCTGAGAGCCAGCACAGCTCCCCCCAAAACCCTGGCCCGAGCTCACTGTCACTCACCCTTGGGCCCTCCTTCTGAGTAAGGGTGACCAGATATGGCTGTTGGGGAAATATGACTGGAAGAGCCACAGCTTCTTGGCTCCAGGGGCAGGACAGGACCCAGAGGCTACATACAGGGTACCTGCCTAGTGGCAGGATTTTATCCTTACCGTCCCTACAGCCCAGGGTCTGAGCTCCTGGAGACTAATCAAGAAGTTAGCCCAAAGCCTCGCGTGGTCTCTAGCTCACATCTGTAATTCCAGCACATGGAAAGACGGCTAGTTCTAGGCCAGTCAGCACTACAGAATAAGACCTTGCCTCAAAAACAAAACACTACCACCACCAACAAAAGCCCTCTACAACACCTGCACACACACACTAAATAAGTAAATAAAAAAATGTAATTAAAAAAAAAAATCTGGGGGTTAGAGTCTCACTACACAGCCCAGGATGGCCGGGACTCACAGAGATCTGCCACTTCTGTCATTTGAGAAGCAGAGAGTCAAGGTGTGCACCACCAAGCCTGGCGGGGGTTTGGTTCTCTCTCTCTCTCTCTCTCTCTCTCTCTCTCTCTCTCTCATTTGTAGACAGGATTTCTCTGTGTAGGTGCCCTGGTCTTGACCTGGAACTAGTGTAGACCAGAACGGCCTCTGATCCAACTCAGAGATCCACCTGCCTCTGCTTCCTGAGTGTGGGGATTAAGGGTGTGTGCAAACACGCCCAGCTGCCGTTTTTGTTTTTTGTTGTTGTTGTTGTTTTGTTTTGTTTTGTTTTTTTGTGACCGCAGCTTGCAGGAATTGTTCTCCCCCTTGAGTTCTGGGGACCAAACTCAGGTTGTCAGGTTTGGCAGCCAGCACCTTTACCTAAAGCCATCTCAACCACCCTTAAGTAAAAAATTTTAACAGGAGCTAGAGAGATGGCTCAGCGGTTCAGAGCACTGCCTGCTCTTCCAGAGGTCCTGAGTTCAACTCCCAGCAACCACATGGTGGCTCACAACCATCTGTAATGAGATCTGGTGCCCTCTCTGGCATTCAAGCATACATGCAGAGAGAACACTATACATCACAAATTTAACAAAATAAAACTTATTTATTTTGTTAAATAAAAAAATTTAACGCCGGGCGGTGGTGGTGCATGCCTTTAATTCCAGCACTCGGGAGGCAGAGGCAGGTGGATCTCTGTGAGTTCATAGGCCAACCAGTTCTACAGCATGAGATCCAGGACAGGCTCCAAAAAGCTACAGAGAAACCATATCTCAAAAAACAAACAAACAAACAAACAAACAAAAAGATCCAGCTGTAAGGCATTTTCTTATTAGTGACTGACGGCGGAGGGTTTAGTCCGTTGTGGGCAGGGCCATCCCTAGGCTCGTGGTGCTGGGTTCTCCAAGAAAACAGGTTGAGCAAGCCATGAGGAACAAGCTAGAAAGCAGCATTCCTCCTTGGCCTCTGCATCCACTCCTGCCTCCAGGTTCCCGTCCTGTTTGAGCTCCTGCCCTCATTGCTTCTGATGGTATGGAACAGTGAGTAACATAACCCTTTCCTTTCCAACTTGCTTTTTGGTCATGGTGGTGTTTCATCGCAGCAATAGAAACCAAGTGGAAGAGCCGCACCTCAGACCCAGACCACCCCAGCTGCAAACCAGTTTGTGCAACTGTAAATGCAGTCCCACCCGGTCCCCCAAGACCTGGCTAACGGGAAAGAAAAGGCTCTACGCTGCCTTGAGTTTTGTTGTTGTGACTACATCCTGCTCTGTTACCCAGACCAGCCTCAAGGACTCAGGGATCTGTCGGAGCAGCCACCACTACAGGCATGCACCACCCAGGCCACACTTACGGACCCTTTCTCTACCCCAGCTCTTTTCCCTATGCTCAGCGGAGACCAGGGAGTTCTTGTAGATTTAGGGAGACTCCTAGACAGCCCGGGACATAAAAGAGGCATGGGATCCCCAAGGCTCACCGAGCAGTCTCCTTCCTGGGCTACCAGGATGGGCACCTTCCTGTAGGAGGAGAACTTGATCTCAGTCCTTCTGACAGGGTTCACCTCCACTACCTGATAGGGCAGGGAGTGGAAGTCGAGGAAGGCACGGACTTTGCTGCAGAAGGGACATGTCTTGTACTGGTACAGGGTCAGCTGCAGGTGGCTGGACGGGGACAGCTGGGGGAGAGAAAAAAGACTGGTAACACCTGGAGTCCCAGAGCTCCGCGTCCCCAAACAAACCTTTCTCCACGGAGTCCCCTTCTAAGGTGACCCTGAAAATACACGAATGGGGAAAGCAGAGAGAATGGACTGCGTGGGCAAGCTCAGGGCCCGACTGGTATACCACAGGGCCAGGACTAAGGTTCACCCCGACTCCTCCAGTCTCTCTAGGTAAGGGGCAGAGCTGACCAAGCAGTTACACTGGCCTGAAGCGAGGTCTACCTCGGATCTACAGAAGTGGAGGGAGACTATATGCGGCTCCTCCACAGTGAAGCCTTTGGGCATACTTGCTACAGTTGCAGCCCACCCGCCTCAATTTCAAATGGAGATCGGATGGACAGAGGAGAGAGCTGCGAGCCAACAAGGACTCCACTCCCTTTCCAGTTCCAGCGTCGAGGAATAGGCCATGGGAGGTAGGATGGAGACTCTGCAACTCAAAATGTCCACAGGGGCGGCTGAGCCACCGCAGCCGGGGACACACCTCCAGTTCTGGGTCTGGAGTCCAGCTCACTCGGTCCACAGAGACTACTCGCGGCACCGCGCACTCAATTAAAACACAGTAGGGACCACATGAGAGACATACAGCTCTAGGTAATGGGCATCAGTACGAACTTCCTCGAACTCCCAGGGCCAAGACACTCGTCCAAGGTCACGAGCGGGCGAAAGAGGCCACTCCTGACCCTGAGGCTTCTCAAGAGTCCCTAGTTCGGGGCTGACCTCGGTTCCCCGTCCGTAGCCCGTGCCAGCCAAGCCTTACCTGTGCGGCCGAGCGCTCGGCGCGGAGGTCCTGGGAGCGCAGGTGCCACCGCACGGTGTGGTACAGCCCC